ACGCGCTTGTTACTCAGACTGATGACGGGATAAATAATAAACAGCGATACACTGCTGGTAAATTTGAATTTACATCAAAATGATTCGCCACTCGAGATTATTCTGCTGGAAATTTTGCTATATTTTTTTTTCAAGTGTTCGGTCATTTCAGATTTTGTCTCTTTTTTTTTTTTTTATTGGGTGATTAAGGTCCCATGCACCTTCTGAGGTTATTAGTGACCACAGTGAGTTTATTCTGCGGTGCAGTCTATAGTAGGTGGTATAAACCAATTCTTTTTGAAGCATGCTCAGTGAATTCGGCAAGTTATGTTGGATCCTTTTCATATTGCACTTTGGGCAGGTTATCAGGATGTGATCGATGGAGTTTTGTATCCCGCAGATATCGCAGGTTGTTTGGTTCCCCTTTTTTGCGGTTGTTTCACCTTTTGGGGTGTCTTATTGTGACTACAATATAACGTGAAGGTAAAAGGTTTATGCGAATCCATGTCTGAAATGTAGTTTGATAATGAAGTATACAAAGATCAGGTGTATAGCCAAATAAACTTGGTAAAAGTGTCCGTAAATAAAATTGATTTTGCGAACGTGTCAAATATTAGACCTCTCTTTCTGCCAAGTTTCAGACTCCTGCTCGGCGACTTAGTGAGTAAACCTTAATAAACTTGACGAGTAAATTATGAAATCGGTTCCACCAATTAACCGGACTAATCGAAGAACTAACTACATACAAAAAACGATAATTGGTTCCAAACAATTTTTTTTTCCTGTTTTTCAATAAATAAAACGAGGGTAATATTAACGTATGTATGTATGTGTGCATATTTATTAAAAATAACTACATAAACAAAATCAGGGGTTTATACGTACATAATTCATTTTAAATTTATATGTTTTTATTTGAAAATTAATTTTTTTAGGATTTTTTGTTTTTTTTTTTCAAGTAAAAAAAATTTCTTTTGGAACCGAACTATGCGAGGTATTGCTGTAGTTTATTTTTATATTTACTCAGTGTACAACCACCAAACGTTAAATAATTCAATATAATTTCGTAAGAAATAAGATTGTGTAACAAATGTGCTAATTTTGTTGCAACGTGTTTGTTTCAGAACGCAAGCTGTTCGTTGGCATGCTGTCGAAAAAGTTCACCGAAAATGACGTTAGGAACATGTTCAGTGTCTATGGAACCATCGAAGAATGCTCGGTGCTGAGGGACAGTACCGGAAAAAGTAAAGCCTGTGCCTTCGTTACCTTCGCTAGTAAACAATACGCCATCAACGCTATTAAAGCTCTTCATCACTCGCAAACGATGGAGGTGAGTGGGATCGAAACACGATTGTCTCCTGTATCTGTGCTACTTAACTCTTGCCACGCAGTGCATCTTTTGTTCTTCGGTGTCCTTAAAACGATCGCAACAATGGTACTTTGTTATCAAACCTCCCGCTTCTTCCATTCAACAAGGGAACAGTTCCAGATAACTTTTGCTTTACTTGCTTGTGTAAATCAGTTTGAAAAAAGAAGTCCATTCGTTTGAACAATATACCGAAATTTATTTCTCAATTTTTCTTTTGAAATATTCATCGATACTCGAGCAAATTTGTCTGTATAAAATTGTGTACTCCGACATACGGAACACGGATAAACCAGAATTTTGAAATTTGCAAAATAGAAGAAGTAATTAAAAATGTGCTCTTATTGAAATAATTGAAAATTCAAATTTTCTCTTATTTTATGCTGTAGTTAGAGGCTTGTAGATCGTATATTTGAGGAAGTTGTCCTTTTTTTCCGCTACATATCGTTAGTTATTCTCCCAATGGACAAAACTAATGCCCCAAATATGTAAATTTCCCGGTTTAGACCTTCGCCCAAGGTTTCGACCGCGCAAGATCCGCTGAACGGATTCACGGTAATAGAACCTTATTGTCAAGTAAAAAGACAATTGCGTGGAAGTCGTTCGAAACGGTTAGCCCATTGAACCTAATGTGTCCTACGTTTGTGAAAATATGCTACCTTTGAAGAAAGCTGAATTTGTTATAAGACAGTCCTCGATTGCGACCGACGTCGTTATTTCAAACGACAGAAAAATATTTCCATCATTTGCGATAATATAGAAGGTGACATAATGTGATGTACGATACGTACTTTTTACATGAGTATTTAGCAGCGTACGGAAAATTTCAAGGCCATATTAATTTTTTTTTTAACGTTTTAACTCGTTTTCGAGCTTTGACGTTGCAATTTTCATTTCTAAAAGTTATAGCTACCAATTACATATAAAATAATGCAAACATATAGCGTACAAATGGTCAACACGGTTTAATACACACGCGCCTAGTTTATTTTTCGTTTTTATATTTGAAAATCCTCGGTGAAAATTTATATATACTTGAATTGCATTCTAATTTTATTCCGAATAATTTTCTAGTCTGTAAATATGCAAATTACAGTCCTTCGAGAAGCCTAATTTATTTGCAGTAACTACATTATTAACAACCGCTGCAAACAATAACTTCTCATCCAGCATTCAACAATAATGAAACATTTAATTGCACTTAACACTTTACCGACCGGTAGCGGTTGAACATCCTACGCACTTCCGACCGCTCACTCGGCCACAGATGCATGGTTGACACCGGCTCTATTTAGACTCTAGGCTATCGCGCGAGAATATATGCTCTTTTTCTTATACCTATAGAAATGTTAAATCAAACTTTGACCGATTAATAGGCTACCGGTCGGTAAGCGTCGGCGGTAAAACAGCGATTAATAGGTTACCGGTCGGTAAGCGTTGGCGGCAAAAAGCCGATTAATAGGCTACCGGTCGGTAAAGTGTTAATTTCTAAAATAAAAAAATACACACTGGACCGAAATTTCACCCATAATTTCCCAGCTCGTCATAGTTAGCCTAATGCAGCGTAAGCTGTACAAAACATTTAATTGCATTTGATTTCTAAAATAAGAAAATACACACACTGGACTGAAATTTCACCCATGATTTTCATCGAAGATAGCTTGTAAGAGTTTAACCTAATGCAAGGTGAGCTGTACTTACGCGAAGATTAAAGAGAAAACGGTAGGAGGCTCGTTAAGTGTACTCGGCTATTTTCTTTTCATAGGCGGTTCAATGAGGTCGTCGAACATTGGCGCGTTGCCATTATTATCCTGAAAATCGCTTCTACATCCGCAACCCCGGCGCTGCGCGTGTAGTTTATATACCTAGGCCCGATGATATACCGATTTAACTCGGCCTAACCGAAACCGAGCAAAGAAAAGTCGCGTGAATGGGCTGACACCTTGATTATTCGAAACGCGCGAACTCACTTTCTCGATGGTTCGTTTCTCGAACGCTTTGTCCTCCTCTTCTTCGTTTTATCTTCTTCTTTTTCTTTCGCTCTCTTCACCGTAGAATCGTCGCTTACGTCTGACCGAAAAGTTTGCAACAGCAGAGTTTTAACGTTGTGTATCATTTGATGCGTTGATTTTTAATTGCTAAAATTACGGTTGAAGTGATGTTTGGGAGTTTGAGACGTGTGTTTGTTTGTTTCAACCCTTTCACTGCTGGCAACTCGAAAGTAACGCACTATTAACAGTCACGTTGTGTATTGTGTTCGCCAAATCGCTTTTTTGCTGAATATTTCATATTTTATTTGGTAAAATAAAGATATTGGATGATTGCAAAAGTTCGTGCCCGATATGAAAATCAAGCGCAAACGGTGTGTGCAAAGGCACATGTCATTTGAAAAGAAAATTAAACGAAACGAACAATCTTTCGGTAGGAATGTAGCATAACGCTAAAACAAATACGTGTGACGTAGTTGATAAGATTCCCACCACCTCTGAAAATCAGGCATGAATTTTTGCAATCATCTAACAGAATATGAATATGAAGAGCGTTGATAGTGTTCAGCGTTCGATTATCGCTAAGAGCAGTCAAAGGGTTAAAAACGCACCGTGGATTGTCTCTCGTTTATACAGATTTTTCCTGATTTCTTCCGGTGAACCATTCGCATTAACCCATTTTTGCATAATTAGCGTACATACACTACCGGCCAAAAATTTGGAATCACCTCCCACTTTTCATCAATATTAAATCTGCTGCTAATTTTTTATAGATTTGAAATTTATCTCAATTCTACATTTACCAATTTATCTCATATCAATTGATTCGAATGATAAAAAATTCTCAAAGTCGCTGACTTTTGTTTGGAAATTTTTGTGTAAATTGCAAGGCTCGGTGATTCCAAACTTTTGGCCGGTAGTGTATACGCGTAATTTTCCTGGCCACTATCAGGGAAGCGTATATACACGCGTATTCGTACAGTGAATAATCGAAGACTACTAAAATTTCGTGCCAAGGGCCTGTTTTTCATTTTTTTTTTTTTTTTTCAAATTATGCAAATGGGTTAAGCGTAATTGCTAATTGATGGCGATCTTGGTCACACAAAATTGTATAAAAAAGGTGCTATTTGGCGGGTAGAATTGCGAGCTGCGAATTGCAAGAAGAAAAAGAGTAAACTACTATTTGTTACAACATTGACTTTAAAGTGGTAGGGACGATAGCGTGATGTGTTCTCAACGTGTGTGCAAAAACGCAAGTCAGTTGTTTTAACGGTTCTTGAGATATCAGCGCAAGCAATTTGAAGGACATCGTTCTGAAAAAACTTACTTTGAATTTTAAGTACTTGTTTAAAATTTTCCATGCCTGTGATGTAACAAACGCTGTGTCGTTCAAACGTGTGTAACTCTGGCATTGTTCTTTTAATTTCAATGAAACACATAGGAGAAATATTTCGAAGGCTGTAGAAATCTTGGAAAATCAATTTTGTAGACCGCTTATATTTATGGATTTTTTTGGGGTAAAATATGAAAGACGAGAAAGAAAGGAAGGAAGAACAATCATGTCAGACCTGTTGATTTCCCTTTAAATTATGTTCGCCTTGTAGTACAACGAGAATACACGAAGGGGGATGAAAGTTGCACGAAAGGTTTCATTTTTGGACGCCATTGCTTTGCATAAAGTTTCCAAATTTGTCGTATCAAAAATGAATACTAAATTTTGCGTCTGTCTGTTAAATTTTTTGTAATTTATAACGCACGAATTTTTGCAATTTCAAATACCAAACAGTTGCAGGAATAATTTATTTTAAAATAAATTTCGCAATTCTCTCTTCTCTTTTTGTGACA